GCCCACTCCCTGGGGCCCTCCCTGGACCACTGGCTGTCGGGGCCCCGTTGGGAGGCAGGGGCGGGTTGGAACCTGGCTGCCTCGTCCGCTCCACAGGGCTGAGGGCACGGATGTTGCATCCGGGCGGCGGGGGAAGTGGCACACCTGCCTCTCCCGGCACCTGGGTGCCCGGCGATAAAGGGGGTTTGGGGTGCGGGGCTCCGGGACGGGCTTCCACAGCAGGACTGACTGGGGACTCCGCTCACGTCACCGGGGGCCCTGCCTCTGGCTGTCCCTGCAGGACCGGGTCCTGTACCGGAGCCGCCACCGGGGTGACATCTGTCCGCTCACCTACTCCTCCTGCCCCGGGGTCAAGACCTCCGACCACCGCCCCGTGTACGGCCTCTTCCGCGTGAAAGTGAGGCCGGGCAGAGACAAGTCAGTACCGTCCAGGCCCGTCCACTCTCGGGGCACGGGGCGAGGCGGGGGGCAGGGACAGGCGCCTTGCCTGCCATGGGGGTGCCAGCTTTGGACCTAGGCGCAGGTCATGGTCTCCGAATCCTGCCCCCAGACAGGAGCCAGGTTCCAGGGCCCACGCGGAGATCACTGCCCTGGGTGGACCTGAGCGGCCGTCACTGGAGTGACCACCACAGGGTCGGGACCTGGCCTGGCCCCCGCGCCCATGGGCTGGCCAGACCCAGTGATCTCCGCCTGGCTCACAGCGCCAGCCTGGCTCAGCGTCCACCCTGGAGTGTGAGGTTGGGCACCCTTGGGGCCCGCCCCCCTCCTGACGCCTTTTCCTCCACAGCATCCCGCTAGCGGCCGGCAAGTTCGACCGCGAGCTGTACCTGATCGGGATTAAACGGCGGATTTCCAAAGAGATGCAGAGGCAGCAGGCCCTGAAGACACAGCACGCCAGCGCCATCTGCACCGTGTCCTGAGGGTCTGCCCACGGGGGCTGGCACCGCCGCCGGAATCCCTGGCGAGGACGAGGACGTGCTGCCTGGACTGCGCAGCCTGGGGGACGCTGAGCAGCCGTGGCCAGAGGCAGGCCGCCGTCCTGGCAGGAACCCAGCGGGACGGGGCTGCAGCGGAGCCGGCCCTCACCTCATCCCTGGGCCAGACCCGCTGCTCGCTTACACGTTTCCCCGCAGACACCCAGCCTCCCTCTCCGCAGGCAGAGCTTGGGCCCGAGGATGCCCCACCAGACCTGCCACCATCTCCCGGGACTCACGCCTCTCCAGCAGCAGCAGAGCCACACGTGGCCAGCTCACAGCCACTCCAGCGTCTGCGTCTCCATCCTCCGGCCCTTTCTCTGCACATGCCTGGCCTGGTACCAGGGAGGCTGCTCAGTGGGGTGACCCGGGTCCCCCAATCCCACGGCACGTGCTGGGACCAGGTTGGTCACCAGGTTGAAGCCAGATAACGTCCAGGGAGCAAGCGTGGTCCCCACTGCTGGGCCGGGACAGGGCCCTGCCCCTCCAGCCACCAGCAGTGCCCCCACCACAGGCCTGTCAATAGCAGCAGTGCCCTTGCCAGCCAGAGCCGCTGCTGGAAGCTTAGGCTGGCACCTCCTTGCCACCCAGGCTGGCACCGCCACGTCTGGATTTCAAGGTGTTTAGACCATTATTCCTTCCCATCTGGTTCCATCTCTTGAAAAGGCGTAGGCTTTGAATGCGGGGAAACCCAGGGCATTTGGTCTAGTCTTTCCAATTATTTATTTTCCATATTTATATTTTTAAATAAATGCATATTTTGAGTCTTTAACTTTCTGGTCAAAGTGTGAGTCCTAGACACAGCCTGTCTTCAGGCCGTTCTCACCAGAGCTTGTAGGAAAAGGCAGGGGTGCTCTGGGCTGGCGGCTGACAGCGTCCCTCAGCCGCCCCCCCTCCCCCCCCCCCTCCGTGCGGGCCACACCCGTCCTATAGGTGTGAGTCGGGAAGTCAGTGCCCACCGTGTAGCCACGTGACCGGCATCAGCCTCCAGAAGAAGCGGTAAAGCAGCACACGCCACCCCGTGGCAGCAGTCGCCGGCACAGCCGATCCCAGGGATCTCGGGGAGCTACGCGACCCTGAAAGCCGCTGAGGCTCAAGTTAATTACCTGAAAATCTCTTACAAAGGGTGTGGCAACAGGGACTGAAATAAGTACAATTTTATGGTTCTTTCTAGGCATGGTCTGACCCAAACCGTGGAAGAGATTTTAATGTGAATCTGAAAATAGTTTGGCCCAAGGTCACGCTTCGTCTCTGGGGCGGCCGTCACCCCTGGTAAGATCCTGGGTCGGAAGAGATTTGCTTCGTACCGGCCGCGAGGCTTTAGGAGGACAGAGTTCACTGGGAAAATGTTTAAATGACCGTGGCCAGCCTCTGGAAGGGGCTTCATGCGGGAACAGGACCGGGAGGGCGGTGCCGGAGGCTCGCCTCGCAGGCTGTGCGTCTCCCTGGCAGCAGGGCAACTGCCCCGGAGGAACAGAGGGGAGAGAAGGGTGCCACACCTGGGAGCACAGGCACCGGGCAGTGACGGCTGGGGCTGGAGGGGTGGGGGAGGGAAGCGTGGTGCTGTCCAGGACAGGGCAGGGCGTGGGAGAGGGTGGTCCCTGCTGAGAGAACTCAGTGCCTGGGGCCCTGAGGGTGGCAGGGGACCCAGCAGGCAGAGACAACTTAGGACCAGCTTCCAAAACAGACACGTCTGGAAGTCGGCAGTTTCTCACCGGGCAGTGACGGCTGGGGCTGGAGGGGTGGGGGAGGGAAGCGTGGTGCTGTCCAGGACAGGGCAGGGCGTGGGAGAGGGTGGTCCCTGCTGAGAGAACTCAGTGCCTGGGGCCCTGAGGGTGGCAGGGGACCCAGCAGGCAGAGAGAACTTAGGACCAGTTTCCAAAACAGACACGTCTGGGAGTCGGCAGTTTCTAGAATGTGTGCAAAGCTGCCAGGTCGAAGCCCAATCCAGCCCTGAGGGAGCGGGCAGGTGCCAGGCCCAGCCACCTCCTGCCTCGGGCTCTGTCCCGCCGCAGCGCACACCTGGTGGCAGCGGAGCTGCAGGACCGTCCATGGCAAGGTGCCTGCCCGTGTGGAACCACAGGGAGTCTAACCACGGAAAGTCCACCGCTGGACTGACAGCCCCCGACCCCCGGGCTCCCTCCCGCCCCAGTGGACGGAGGGCAGTGGACCGACATGCTCCACCAGGCGCCTGCACTGGGGTGTGTTGTAAAGCAACTGACAGGCCCTGCAAAACAGTCGATTGCAGACAGAAGTAACGCGGACGTGTTTATTTGATTCCCCCACCCCCGCCACGCACACCCCCCTGTACCCCTGTACGGCAGAGGCCAGGCTGCCTGGGGTCACAGGAAAGATGACATGGAGGCCCCTCTCCTCCAGTGCCCCATGGCCATGCCAGGACGCTGCCCTCTACACTGTGGTGGCCTAGAACTACCCGGGGGACTCGGGGTTCCCACGTGGAACCTGGGGCTTCTATGGGAACTGGAGTTTGAGAAGCACAAACCTTTCCCTTCTGAACCTACAGCTCCCGTCTCCCAGCCCCTCCCACCCTGTGCGTGGACACCTGAAGTCAGAGCCCATCTTCCAATGAGGGCAAGCGGCCTGGCAATGCTGGGTCAAACGGAAGGCCTATCGGGGGACAGGTGGCTGGCACTTCCCTGCCTTGTTCTAGAAAATTCCAACGGCCTGGAACGACCCATCCTAAATCAAGGGTGAGGACACCAGTGCAATTGATGACATCGGCAGACAGCCCAGGCGCATGGCCGCACCGTGAAGCAGTCAGCGTGCCCAGGCCATGCCCTGGCACTGACAAGGCGCTTCGTGGCCGGAGCCTTCTGCACGCCACCCGGCCGAGTGGAGTGCTGGAGGCACACCCAGTCCTGAGGGCGCCGAGTGCGGCCACGTCAGCGTGTGAGTTCACCCTGCGGAGAAGTGTCCTGTGGTTCGCAGCGCTCAGTTCTTGCACTAAATTCACCTCCAAAGAAACGTGTGCAAACAGCCTCTACCGGAAAAGCCGGTAGGTCCTGGGCAGGCGCCCGTCTCTGCTGGACAGCGCCGCCTGGATGTGCTCGTAGCTGGGCAGGTCACTCAGGTCGCCCAGGGCGGCCACTGCCGGCTTCCCGCGCAGCATCTTCGAAGCAACTCGCTTGATGTCCTCTGGCCTCACGTCGCCTGGCACGGGGACAAGGGACGGGAAGGCCTGACACACTGTGGTCCCGGGCCTCCAGGCCGCTAATCTGCCACCACCCCGGGGAGAGGAGCGGAGGACTCGGAGGGTCAGGAGCAGCTGTGTGGACTGCCCGTGGGTCAGGGCGAAGGACGGGAGCGGGCTTGGCTTTGCTTAGCGATGGGGAAGTGTCCATGTTTCCAAATGCAACAGGACATGCCCCCCATAGGAACTCAGGGAAAAGCTGGTGGGTCAGCAGAGAAGGGAGCCCTCCCCTCCGAGTGTGTGGTCTGAGGGAGGAACGCGGCAGAGGCTGCACACTGAGCCGGGCAGAGAAGCCAGGAGCCACCTGGCAACGCACCCGGCAGGGCTGGCTTTGCTGCGGAAGATGAGGCCACAGGAAGGTGGAGCACCGTCCTTCTCGAGGGCCTGCGGGGCCCCACAGGACTCCAAGCCCAGGGGACACTACAAACGGTGCCAGCTTCACACCAGGCGACACCTCACAACAGAGTGCCCACCTCTGGGTCACAGACCCCTTGGGAATCAGAAAGCTAGAAATTGTCCCCTGAGCCGCACGAGCAAGTAAAACCGGGCACTCGGCGGAGGACGTCCGAGCCCCCTGGAGGCCACGTGAGAGGCCACAGACACTTGGGGCCGAGACACCCGCCACCCGCGAGCCCCCGGGCCCCGTGGTTAGAGCCGCAGCCTCACACATGGCTACTCACGGATGAGCGCGCACAGCTCGTGGGGCAGCTTCCTGGAGCGGGTCGCCAGCACCTGCCTCCCCACGTCCTCAAAGATCACAGGCCTGGCCTCCAGGTTCATCATGAGCATGGACATCAGCTGCGTCTTGGCTCGCTCCAGCTCCACCTGAGGGTGACAGCCCGGCGTGCCGTCAGCCAGGCACTCAAGCCACCGAGTGGCTCGGAAGGGTGTCCCGGCCCAAGGTCAGCGCTGAGGCAGACGGCTGGCTCCCCGGTGCCCAGGCCCTGCCCACCGTGCTCCCGGGCCAACGCTGAGGGGACAGCTCAGCTACCAGCTCTGTTCCGGGAGCCCTTCTGACCAGGGGTGAGTGTTACAAGGGAGTGCGGCCTGGGGTTCGAGGACAGAGGCAGCTGGGAGGCAGGTGGCCCGATGGCTCTGGGACCCGACAGACTTCGCAGAGCAAGTCCTGAGAGACTGGCTGGAAGTTGTGTCATTTCTAAGTAAAGCAGCTGCCCGTTCAGGACTGCGCTTCACGACTGCACTTCAGGCAAATACTGAAGGCGACCTCGGCGCCTCCCGTCGGGAGGGAGCACTGCCTGCCCAGCAGGGCCCTGTGGACCCGCCAGTGACTTCAAGCCCTTCCGCTTGGAGTGACGCTGCTTCTTTCTGCTCAGAGGGAGCACGAGAGGCTACAGGAAACACGGGGCCGCACAGTGTGACCTGAGGGAAAGCATGTGCACCGACCCCGAGGCACGGGGCCTGCACGCTGGGCTTGTCTGGTACTTGTGCGCATGCGTGCGTGTACACCTGTGCGCAATGCGTGTGTATGTGCGTGTAAAATGTGCTATTTGTGCCAGTTCTGGGCCAGGAAGTAACGAGGCTTCTGAACACGTAAGGTATCAAGCGCTGGGCTAGAGACCGAGGAGCTGAAAAGGAGAAGCCAGGAGGGCTGGCAGGGCTGCGCATGGGGCTGCTCTGAATCGCCCGCAGGCGGCGGGAGGGCCCTGCCTTGTGTGCGGCGTTTGTCAGCAGAGCCGAGGACCTCAGGCAGCCAGGAGACGCACGGGGTCAGCCAGGTGCAAGCAGACCAGGTGCCCAGTGAAAACCACGGAGGGCTCCCCATAGGACAAGCTCAGCCTTGGACGGGGTCACCGGTGTTGGGGCCACCGGTGTTGGGGCCATACTTACCACATCCACAGTCCCACCCATTAAAATGAACTCCTTGGTGATGATCTCCACCATTTCTCGAACCTGCGAGGGAGGCATGAGGCCAAAGCGAGAGTTGTTTACACAGCCCGCCTGAGACGCCCTGCAGCAGCTGGCCTCACCGGCCTGGCCTCACCTGTCTGGGGTCGGCGCTGGCGTGGATGCACAGGAGCCCCGTGTCCTCGTAGCTGTGGTGGTAGGCGGTGGCGTTGTACATCCAGTGGTGCCTGCAGGGACGGGAGGGAGAGACACCTGGAAGGTGAGACGCCCTCAGCTGGGCCTGTGGCCCTGGGGATGGCAAGGGGCAGCGCCACTCACCTGTTGAGCACGTTGAGGTAGAGCCGGGTGAACATGCCCTTGCCGGGCCCGCCAGCTGAGAAGGAGCCGCCGCCGCCCATCATCATGTTCAGCACCGCGAAGGGGATGAAGTCAGCCTCCTGCAGAGAGGAGGACGGAGCTCACAGGGGCCGCGCCGGGCCGGGGGACGCGGGGCCAGCGGGGAGGGAGCCTGCGGGACTCACCAGGAAGGAGCAGCTCTCCAGCCCTATCATGATGTGCGTGAGCTCAGGGAACGGGGCGGGGCCCAGGCTGACCTTGGACATGTCTCTCTCTAGCTGTAACCAGCAAGAACAGTCAGTGAATCAGGCTTCACCAGTGCCTTAGCCAGATCTACCCCCAACCCCGCTGAAGCTAAACACAATAGGCACGCGGCTTCGAGAACGTGCGCTGTAGAGACCAGGACGTGTTCGAGGCAAAGCCACGAGTGCAGTTCACTGAACTCCCCAGAACCAACAAAACGAACCAAGACCTGAGGTCACAGAGCGCGTCTGACCCGAGGCCACGGTCCCCTGCCCTGTACCTTGACGACGCCCCCGGTGTACTGCGCTACGGAGCGGTCAACGTCCACGGCGGCCCCGCTCCCCCAGGCCGGCCGGGCGCCCAGGAGGTACTTCCTGGCGCACTCCACCAGGTGGTCGTGCTCGATGCCCACGCCCGCCAGCACCATGCGGTCCGGCGTGTAGTAGTTCCTCAGGTAGGAGTGGAGCACGTCGCGGTCGATCTTCGCTATGTTTTCTGTGGGGCAGAAGCGGTGGAGGCCGACCGTGTTCTCCCGGAAAGCGGCCTCCAGCCACAGGACAGCCTCCCGTGCGTGGAGACC